TATACGGTAGTCTTGTTCATTTTGCTATTAAAAGTTAGTTCCGGTTTTTTTTTTTTTTTTTTTTTTTTGAGTGAGCAGTCGTGAATTTAACTGTACAATAAATTTCACCCAATTTCGCTTCAAAAAAAAGTAAAATTGTTTGTCTTATATATTCGTAGGCAGTTAGTTACTGATAGCATATGTAAAATCTCATATTTTTGATAGGAAATTTTGTGATACTTTTAGGCAATATCCATCTTTTAAGATTTTGATAAATCTGTTGATTTTTTTACGTTTCAATACAACGTATTGATCTCACTGGGGGAACTGTAGTTATTTAGTGCTAAATTATCAGCCATTTCAATAATTTCATTGTTCTGTTCACATTACCAATTTCATTTTTTTGATCAAATGAATGTAGTAATAAAATTAAAGAATGAATTGATGCTGTTATATAATTCCATTTTAAAATTATGTGTAAAGATTTTTCAATTTGTCAGATTTATTAAATACATTAACGTAAGAAAGTTCTGTAGCTTCTTCAGTTGTTTTTTAGCACTTGGACTGATTCTCTTGATAGAAGCACATGTTCTCATTCAAAGGAAGTTGAATTTACTTATCTTAAATCTCCGACAGCAGAAACTAAAGATAGTGGGGATGATGAAGGGTTATCTTTTTTTTGTGCATCAGACTTCTCTAATATATTTGTGAGCATTTGTAATAGGTTTAGACGTAATTTGTTTAGAAACAGGATTGGTAAATTTTGTATGTATGACCCTTATTTTGCTTGTACAGGGGTCTCTTCAAAAAATCATTGTTTTTCAGTTCTGAAGATGGAGATTATTTGCTTCCTGACGAACCTCCACTTAGCGATATAGCTAAGCGTATTTATTCGGCCCTCCCACCATTGCCTCTTCGCGAAAATGATCCGACAACATATATTCAAGCTGTGAAAGGCATGCTGAAGTGTTCTTTGCGACATCAGGGCTCATTTAGGAAAAATTTGTCAGAAGTCGTGAAATCAGAAAAGTCTTTCCAAAAATATGATGATGCAGAAAAGGTATATCAATTATTTTGCTGGTCAATTTGAAAATCTTACCTAATAACATTGTTGAGTTCATATAGCAGTGTTTTTTCAGGAACATTGGAGCAAATACTTCATTAATTTGTCTCCAATGCAATCTTTTTCTGCTAATTTATCAAATGAAGTTAATAATAGCAAATCCGAATCAGCAGGTTTAATCGACTTGGAAGATATTCCTTGTAGCGATCCTGATATCTTTTTATATCACGTTAATAATGCTAACTTTGATGATTTGCTTTCACAAAGTGTTCCAGCATCCGATAATATAGCTGGTTAAGTGATTTAAAAAGATTCAACACCTGTTTGCATTTATTGCTGTTTTATTATTCTCTGTAATTTCATTTATATCATTTTAGATGACAGCCCCACAGAATATTTCCTGAATAGTGAAAAAAGGGAAACAAATACGGCAAATTTGGATTTAAATTCACATAACCTTGATATTGATCAAGGTGTGATCGAAGCTGTTCCTCAGGAACTATCACCAAAACATGCTGATACAGAATCTGATTATGATCGATTTGTTCTGCAAGCTTGGTTTCAACAGCAAAAGGCAACTACAGTAAGTAGTATGATGTGAGTTGTTTAGGTTTCAAAGCTTGAAATAGATAACATATTGCAGCTTTTTTGAGCAGTATTTCGTTTCAACTTGAATATTTTTCTGCTACAAACTTAATGAACATTTTTGATTAAGAAAAAAGTTTTAAGTTCTAAACATGATCTTTTACAATTTTTAAGGAAATCTAGAGATATAATTTGAAATATGTTCTTGAAAAACTACTTTTGTAGCCAATTAATGGCAGGGAAAATTTTGGCATATGGCATAACATTGATGGTACAGATGATTCTGATTTTATGGCTTCTGTATTTCAAGAAGAAAATACTCAATGGATGGGATCACATTCTGATAGAAGGTAGAACAGTTTTCACTGTATGTACTGCATAGTTCTAGATGTTAGTTTATCTCAACTACAAATACATGAGGTATATGTGTATAGTTTGTGTTTTAAGGACATCAACAAAGTTGATTTTTTATTTTAGATCAAAAAGCTCTTTGAAAACGCCATCTCCCCCGTCTGGCTCAAGTCGAAATTCAGATGAAAACTTGTCATTTTCTTTTGACTTTTAATATATTTTGTTATGCTCTATATATGGTACAAACACCGTTTTCGATTATTACTCAATTTTTAAAATATTTTTTCGTGAAGTGTTGATCAAAACATTTCGTTAATTTTCTGGCTATTTATTGTCGTACTTTTATTGAAACATTCAAATTACGGTGCCAATTTTTTTAACACTACTAAGTGTGTTCCTTTTTGTTGATGGAGAAATTTAGCTAAGCTAGGCTGGCATTTTTTTTGCAGTTGCTTTGGTAATTTTGTTCGATTATGTTTTCTTAAAGCAATAGATATTGTATTATGCTAGTTTTTTCAATTAGTTCATATAGTATACGTGATAGTATGATTCCTTTTTCCGCTCGAGAGCTAAAAATAATAAAATAAAGTTCAGATATTTGAAAGAAGTAGGCATATTATTTCTACTGTGCTCTATGTTTTTTTAATATATTTTATTATTTGTATGTAATTTTGATCTTATTGAAAACACTGGTTAAAACTTTCTTCATGATATGGTTCAATTTTCTGATAATATTCAGCATTCCATTTCAGTTACTTCTGCTCACTTAGCGTACTTCTCATCAGTGCATAAAACTGAAAAATGTTTCTTATGTTTCATATTTCTTCCATGATATTAAGGACTGTTTAATAAGTTCTTTATACTTATCTAAATAATTCATTTTAATAAAACCTCTTCAAAAGACTATGTCCAACTGGATTGTTTCTATTTATTTTTCATTAAAGCTATCTTTGTTAGCCCATTTTCATTTATTAGCATCATATTTCATGTTACCAAAAAAGAATTATAAGAGAATTTTTTTCGCCCACATTGCGTCAAGTTCACTACTATAAATTTTTTGTCATATCAAGAACTGGATATTTTGAAAAGTGAAATTTCGGTTTTACTTTATTTTTGGAAGTCATTCAGACTCTTAAATTTCGTTCCTCAGAGCCTGATTATTTGAATGGCTGCATACAATGCTGTGTTACACTAATATTGCAAAAATAGGTGAATATATATCAAGTCTATCACTGATTTAAAATATTTTTTGCTATTGTGGGAATTATTTTCAGATATTTTTTGTGTTAATTATTTTTAGGTTTAACTTAGAGAACATTCGTCACATAATGGCTCGTAAACAGAGCTATCAAGTAGATTTTCGTAAAGGACATCTTTTTAAGGTTAAATCTAAAAGTAATTTCTGCTAAGAATTTAAGTAACAACTAATAGCCGAATAATTTCAAGCATTTTTTCGCTTAATTGTCTTAATTTTATTTTCACTTTTTAAAATGAAAATTTGGATTATGGAGTTCTTGCTGAGGATTGGAAGAATTTGTAACAAAATTGTGAGAAATTGCTTTATTCGGATGATGAAAAGTTTTAATTTGAAATACAGATCTTTTCAAGTTTCAGTTTAATCAGTTCAAATAAATAACTAAATTGCCCTTTAAGACATTGTCGAAAATCTTACTTCATCAGATTTAATTCAGTAGTCAAAAAGTATTTTGCATAGATTTTGATTCCAGTAATTATTTCATGTAGTTTTTAAAACATTTCACTTTAATATGTAAATTTATAGCAAATTTCGCATTAAAAATAATGCAATTGTATGTGAAAGATATCATTTAATGGTGTTGAACTGTTATTGCTTGTCGGTCAGACTAATCATTTGGCATGAAAAGTTTATGGAAAAAAGACCAGAACAAGGTGTCTTTAGATGCTACCAGGAAGGAAGTTGAAATGGTACTTATTTTCATATTCTAAACAACCAAACGTAAACTCTCAGCAAGGATGAAGTTCAAGAGATGTTTTATTTCAAATGGATTTGAAAATAATTGAGGAACGATTGTTTTAAGAACGTTTTTTCCTTTTATTTTGCATGAATAATTTTAGGAAGAACATCAAATTCCATTGGATGAACTTTGTGTTCAATTAGGAGCAAATATGAAAGAGGTAAATTATCCATGTGCAAAGGTTTTCCCATAATATAACTTTTTTTTTACTTAAAAGAAGAGAAATTACTTATTCTACAGTCAATCTGCATTCAGAATAAACTTTAAAAAATCTAAGCGAAATTGTTCAGTGAGCATTTCTTTTTCTTCTTGCTCTGCAAAATTCGCTTGTCATTAGTATGAAATCAGCTTCCGTGGACTTCGATTATTTCACTTTAATACTATTAATTTAGTCGTCATTACTAATTTTTTATTTTTTTTCACTTTAGTTTGGTCGCTAAATACAGTGAAAAATCATTCATATTCAGAATAGAAAAAGAACAGTTTTTTCAATATATATCAACAGCGATAATGAAAGTGTAAAACTAAACCATTAAAAAGTTCATAATCAGTCCATTCCATACTAATATTACATTGGAAAAGAAACCTGTCCCATAAACTAATGTATAAGAAGATCAAAATAACAGTTTTTAAAAATTGGTTATTTATCGTAGAAAATGAATAGTAAAGATAGGGTGAGCCGAGACCTCAGATTTTTGTTATAAAATATAACTGTGGTTTTCATGGCAGAGAAAGTTTGGATACAACATGAGATTATTAATGAATAGTAAAATTAGTACTCACAAAAAATTTAAGTTTCCCAAAATCACTTTAATCGAAAAATTCGACCTGTAGTAACAACTTTGGGTTCTTTCTAAATGAAAGAAGGCAAAAAATTGAATAGGTCAAGGATATATAGCACGAATATTTATTCGGTTCAAAGTTCTGAATAGTCTTCAACCTTTATATTATGCTGTTACAACAATGAGATGATTTCTAAGCAGTAGAAATCAAACAATACTTGTATAAAAGCAAGCCAAAAATCAATTATGGATCTCAACGATAGTATTAATCAGCCAGTATTTTAAATTTGATAAATCTTTCAATACATACAGATTTTGTTACTAAATATATAAAGCCTGTGCTCAGGGTCATACACAAGAAAGAGCGGACGAACTGCTGAAGGAATTTGGCTACAATGTCTTAACCCCACCGAAAAAAAAGTCGCAGCTATTGGCACTAATGAAATCTTTGTTTGGTGGATTTAACTTTTTACTTTGGCTTGGATCCTTCGCATCAGTTACAAGTTTTATAATTGAAAACGTCGAACAAAGTGGAAATGTTGCTCTCGACAATGTAAGCAGTCTTCTCTTTTCGTAATTAATCAAAATAAAAAATTGTATTGCATCTCTTTAATTGAAAAGTTATTTTCATGAAGTGTAACAAAATTTAAGCATTTTTAAAATTTCTAAGCGAAAAATAGTTAGAATTTATTGTAGCTTTATATGGGTATTGTTCTTGTGGTTGTCGTTGTTATCACCGGACTTTTCTCATACTACCAAGAGCATAAAAGCTCAAGAATTATGGAAAGCTTTGCAAAATTAGCACCTCCAACTACAATGGTAATAAGTATAAAAATTATTTGGTACTGTTTATTTAAATAATTTTGCTAGCTTTTTATGCTTACACTAAGTGAGTATAGGTAATTCGAGATGGTGTGGCTAGAAAGATTGATGCATCGATGATAGTACCAGGTGATATTATACAAATAAGAGCAGGTGATCGTATTCCTGCTGACGCTCGTGTAATTAGCAGTTCTGGTTTTAAGGTTGATTTTCATGCAAAATCTGTTTCTACATGCATATCTTGTTATACTTCTGAGAAAATTAATTTTCTCATCTTACGATTTTTTTATTTTTTCAATTTTTAATTTTATTCTTTATTTTTTAAATTATAAAAATTTCTCTAATTTACTGGCTTGGTAATTTTATTTAGGTTGACTGCTCATCGTTAACCGGTGAAAGTGAACCGCAAAATCGTTCGCCTGAGTGTACTCATGCAAATCCATTAGAAACTGATAATTTGGTACTTTTTGGCACTGGTGCTGTAGAAGGCAAATGCACAGGAATAGTAATTCTTACTGGAGATAGAACGGTAACGTTTCCATAAAAGCATTTCGATTTAATAGTAATCATAGCAAATCTTTTAAATGCAAGCTATAGCAAGTTTATTAGCGTCAAAGTGAGCGTATGATTTGTGATTTGAAGCATTACGTAAGACCTTAATGAATTATAAATTTTTGATTGATTCAAAAATGAGCCTTATATGGGTAATTTCATTTTTGCATGCATTTGCTTGTTAATAGTAACTCTTCTGCTCTAAGAGTAGACAACTTTTTTGTACCTGAAATTCAATTACTGCACAGTACTGATCAAGTTCAGTTCAAAAGTCATTTAACAAAAAAATATATAATCATATTTTAGTCACTGTACTTTAAAAGAAAATTAAACCATGTAAAGAAAATAAACCATAATTAAATTTAAAACTGCAAATATGTTTTGAAGGAAGTAAATATCAGTTACATTTTCAGCAAAATCGTCAAAAAAATGTACGGGTCATCATTTTTCTTTGTGAAAGATTAAATGGTAATGATAAGTAAAACATAATTATTTGATTGATTAGATATTTGAAGACAACTAAAAAATCATCGCTTAATCTATTGCAATATATTATGGCAATTTATATTTATTATATTATTGTCAAATAAGCAACACTTTTAAGATAATGGGTCGAATTGCATACTTAACATCACGAGTTGATTCTGGAAAGACGCCGATTGCTCGAGAAATCGACAATTTTATTAGAATCATTGGAATTGTAGCTGTAATAATTGGATTGTCTTTTTTCATAAGTATGTTCGTCGAAGTAAAAGTAATTTCAATAAAATGCTGTGCTCAAAAGCAAAAAGTTTAGAAATTAATTTTTATAATAGCATTTCAATAAAAAATATTAAAAGCTTTGATTTCAATCAAGAAAGTTCTTTCTTAAATCCATTTTAGTTGGTTTATTTTATGGATATTCTTTGCTGGAAGCTATGGTATTTCTTATTGGAATTATTGTAGCGAATGTTCCCGAAGGCATCGTTGCTACCATGACGGTTTACATTTCAACAAAAATATCAAATTACAACTACATCTATAAAATCTAGTCATTATAAATTAGAGATATTTCATGTACGATATAAAATACGCTTCAAAATTTTAAAGAATAAGTTTTTAAAATTAAAGTTTATATTGATAATTATTAGTCTGATTAAAATTTTATCTTTAAAGTAAATTACTCTAATTATTAATGTCTAATTAGAGTATGAATGATTTTAGGTTTGTTTAACTTTAACAGCTGTTAAAATGAGGAAAAAAAATTGTCTAGTTAAAAAGTTGGAAGGTGTTGAAACTCTTGGCTCAACCTCAACTATCTGTTCAGATAAAACTGGTACATTAACGCAAAATCGAATGACTGTTACTCATGCATGGTTTGTTAATATCATAATTTTGGTATTTAATTTGAAGTTATACAAAGTGAACCTTTAAAAGAACAGTTGTTGAAAAACCTGAGACAATACAAACACATACTATTTTTTTCTCTCCAAAAACGAATTTTTTTAGAATAAATTTTCCATCAAACTAATTACTGTCCTCTTTTTAAACTACAAGCTATTGAGTATTTAATAAATTGGTAATAATTTCATTATAATAGGTATAATGATAAAATGTGTAAAGTGAATTTTAATGGAGCGAAACGTCCACATGCACCGGTAGAACCATCATCAATTCTTGACATGAAGTGCTTCAAAGGAGCTAAAGGTGCATTTTTACGATGTGCTGCACTCTGCTCAAATGCCACATTTAAGGTTTGCTATAGCGCTTTAATTCAGATATATACTTTTTTGTCTAATTTAGTAAATTAAAATATTAGTAATAGGGAATCATGAGAAGTAAACAAATTATGGTTTCTAAAACTACCAAAAATGCCAAGCTTTCAGTGAACTAAGTCTTCAAAGAGTTACCATTCGCTAATTACTCTGAATATTTTGTTAAAGCGACATAATTTTTGCTCTCTGCAAAATTTTTACGAATCAAATTCATCTTATCTTAAACTTACTTGTAAATAGCATCATACAAATAAGATCCATAAAGAGTAAATTTTAAACTACGCTTTTCGGCTTTTGAATGAATAGGCTTTTGAATGAATAGCAGTTAGTAAACTTGTATTAATATTATTTACATTATTAATGATATTCTGTTAGAAAAATTGATTATCGCTACTTTGAGTAACACTAAAAAACTTTTACGTGACGAATAATGAGCTAGTCAAACAATTTTCGTCAGAAATTAACTAACTTTTTTTTCAAAGGATGAAAATCGAGATGTCAAAATATTACAACGTGAAGCAAATGGTGATGCATCTGAAATAGCTATAATGAAATACTGCGAATATATTTGTGGCGATGTAATTGCATATCGAAATTTTTTTCCAAAACTTTGCGAAATTCCATTTAATTCAACGAATAAATTTCAAGTGAGTAGAATTTCAAAATTATTTTAAATCTATTTCAAATAGTCTATTTTTTTATAATTATATATTTAACTATTTCAAAAAGTTCAAAATTGAAGCAAAGCTTGATTTTTTGGAAATACTTTTTTAGATTTCTGTACACAGAAACGATGCTAAAAGTTGCTTTGTTTTGGTTATGAAAGGCGCACCAGAACAAATCATTAGTCGATGTCAGACATATTTTCGACAAACTGGAGAGGAGCTTATGTCAAAACAAGATTTGCAGTTGTTTCAAGATGTTGCCTTTTCTTTTTTAATTTCTACAAAAATCTACTAACCTTAACTAAATCGAGATGTCAAAATATTACAACGTGAAGCAAATGGTGATGAAAACCAGTATTCTGAATTGAAAATATTTCTGAAGAGTAAGAAGGCACAAACTTTTTATAATATTAAAAAGTTTAACATGAGAATATAAAAAACTGTCTGCTGTTAAAATGTTTATGCATTCGGAAAGTAAGCATTGATGTAGGCTTACGAATATCTTGGTGGATTGGGTGAAAGAGTATTAGGATTTTGCGATTTGGATCTCGACTCTTCAAAATATCCATCAGATTTCAAATTTACAACAGAACCACCAAATTTTCCGCTTCAAGGATTACGATTTCTAGGACTTATCTCTATGATTGATCCGCCAAGACCAGCTGTGCCACATGCTGTTAAACTTTGTCAATCAGCTGGAATCAAAGTATAAATGAAATCTTTGAAATATATATTTTCTTCGAACAAATTTTGCTTTCAATTTCGATTCATTTAATTGTTTTATGTTTAAGTAATGTCATGAATAAACTGAAGTGTTTCAATTTCAATTTTAAACAAATTCTAAAAATTGCCGGTGAATAAGTCAGCAATTTTTATTTTCAATCAGCCTCATTCATTATTGAAAAATTTTGGCATTAGCAATTCCGATTTTTAATTTAAAACAAACATTCCCCAAAGATTTCAAAATTTAAACAAAAATGACTTTTGCTGCAATTTTGAGTTTCTCTCAATTTGCTTCTTAGTATTCTGTGATGCATGGCAATAAGTAAACTTGTAATGAATGCTTTATTCAGTCTAAAAGTTTATTAGAATTTGTAATTGTAAGCAAACTGTGCTGTTATTTTTGTTATGAAATCAAATTTTTTTGATTATTGATATTAGTTCTAGATTGTAATGGTTACGGGCGATCATCCATTGACAGCTGAAGCAATCGCTCGACAGATTAATATTATAACTGAGGAAAGTGTTGCTTCAAGAATTGTTAATGACGATGACACGTTAAAACGCCAGGAGCAGCCGGATAATGATGAAAAGTATAATTTTTAATCTTATTTCACAGATATGTTGTAAATTTTGTTTTTTAAAAGACCATGGCATGTCTATATGAACGACGAAAATTTTTTTGAAAAAAAAATTCAGTTGAATGCAATAATCTAGAGCAATTTTAAAGTTGAATAAATGTATAGAAACGTATTATCATAATTAGATTACAGCTCATAAATGGTTTCTTGCAGATGTCATGCAATGATTGTACATGGAGAGCAGCTTAAGAAATTATCAGATGATGATTTGAATTATATTGTAAACCATTATTCTTGCGTATGTTTAATCTCATATTTGTAAATTTTATATAACTTTTTATTGATCAGCGATCGAAGATCAATTTTTTGATTGTTCATAATTGCAATTTATTTCATAATATATGAATAATTAATTAACTAATTAGTTATTAGTTAATTATCAGTTTTAAGTAAAAAATTGAAAAAGAAAACGAAGAGATTTAATTGAAAGTAAAACTGCAGATTGTGTTTGCCCGAACATCTCCAACTCAAAAATTGCAAATAGTTGAGGCATTCCAGCATGCAGGTCACATTGTGGCTGTTACTGGAGATGGTGTTAATGATGCACCGGCATTAAGAAAAGCTGATATTGGTAAAATAATCAATATTTGGAATTTTTTAAATTGAATAAAGCATAAGTTTTGAAAAAATTTTACAAATTTGCAGAATATCATTGAAAAAAATTAACAATTATATATCATTACATAGTTGCATCTTTGGCAGGCATAGCAATGGGAATAGCGGGTACAGATGTTTCAAAGGAAGCAGCTGATATGATTTTATTAGATGACAATTTTGCTTCTATAGTTACCGGAGTTGAAGAAGGACGAATCATTTTCGACAACTTGAAAAAGTCAATTGCATATACACTTACCTCGAATATTCCAGGTTAATCATAAAATATGTACTAATTAATATCGGTGCTATAAGGAGAAAATTGAAATATTCTCCAATTCTAATTTCAATTAATAATGAATTAATTAGTTATTTTTTTGCTTTTGCAGAAATTACACCATTTTTATCTTACATTCTTCTTGGGATACCTCTACCAATGAGTGTTGTTGCCATTTTATGCATTGATTTGGGAACTGATTTGGTTAGATAATTTTCGTATTATCAAATCTGTATCAAAATTATGTGCAATGTTTTGTGATCAATTAATGAAAGCATGTAGAAATGCATGCCTTTAAAGATTGAATTAAGATTTCATGTAGTTGCTATGGATGGTTTTTAGTGATACTTTTACTACACGTAAAAAAATTACTAATGATTGCAGTAAAAGTTTCATTTTACATTGAATAAAGAATAATTCTCTGGTAAGTACGGTTTTTTAAAAAATACTTTTGTCATTAGTTTTAAATCTTTCAGTGGCCAGCTATATCTATTGCTTACGAAGAAGCAGAAACAGATATTATGAAAAGACCACCAAGAAATGCCAAATTCGACAAGCTTGTCAACGCAAGGTTTACAAATTATTTTAACATTAAAATAGTAGTAATTTTTTAGCAGTTCAAAAATGTAGTACGAATACTAATCATTTCTTAGAATTTCGGTTTTTATTGGTAATGTAAATTTATTGTAGATTAATGAATTTTTCATATTTGCAAATTGGTATTATGCAAGCAGTGGCTGGTTTCATGACTTATTTTGTCATTATGGGTGAAAATGGATTTCATTTTTTCCGATTGCTTTCAATTCGTGATGAATGGAATGATCCATTGATAAATGATTTAGAAGACAGTTATGGGCAGCAATGGGTCTGCAGCAATTTTTCTTCTTGAAAATGCTAACAAATACATTTTTTCAAGTCTACAATTCTTTAATTAAATTTCAGAGTTACTAAAAGTTTGATAAATTTTTATGAGCTATTTTAAGATTTGCTAAAATATCAAAATGTAATCTAAATGATTGGCATTTGAAGACATATGATGCTCGAAAAGATCTGGAACACTGTTGTCATGGAGCTTTTTTTTACGCAATTGTTGTGGTACAGTGGGCTGACTTGTTAATCTCAAAAACTCGTTATAATTCAATTGTACAACAAGGAATGAGGTAATTCAGATTTATTTTTTTGAAATAATTTGTAGAAATATTGTCAGCCTCTTCCAAATAATGTTTATAGTATAATATAAGATGATAAATAATGTTACGATATTATTTCTACTTATTTCAATTTTTTTCATAATTTCAGCAACTGGGTTTTAAATACTGGCCTTTTATTTACGTCAATACTTTGCACGTTTCTTCTTTTTACACCTTACGTAAACAGAATTTTTGGTTTGACACCTATCAGGTTTTTTAATATGCTGTAAAAGCTGCCTAATATTTAAATCCTGCTATAATGATGAACTGTAGTAGTAAAGCAGTAGTAAAGCAAGCATAATTTCAAAATATAATTTATTCAATAACTGATGCTAAAATAAGGGTTTAAAATAAATAAAATTTATCACTTTGTTAGGTTAACAAGTAACTGTTTTAATAGACAGTAGCAAAGGGTAATTATTTTATTGTTACAAAAGATAATAGTTGTGGATGCTTGTTGTGATAATTAATTATTGCAGGCTTAGTTGGGCGATGATTCCAGTACCATTTGCTTGGATGATATTTGCATATGATGAAATACGTAAATATTTCTGTAGAACTTACCCCAATAGTTGGCTTTATCGTGATACTTATTACTAACCAAAATTGTGTATTTTTGGGGACGACCAGAGATCATATATACAAATTCAACACTTAAAACAATAATTATGATATTCATTACGTCTGTGCAACTGCAAATCATTGCATATTCATAAAAAATGTCTACAACTTAAGTCAGCAATATCATTTTGTCTTGCATACTGTAACACTTAATTTTCTTAAAATATAAAATTAATATTAGTAATTTTTTAAACTTATAGACATAAAATGTATTTAAAATTGGTTAGCTTATAATTTTAGCTTTCATAATAATTCAAAAAATTTTACTTATAAATACATATATTTCAACAAATAATAAAATCAATCGTAGTTAATGGGGAGCTGTAGTCATAAATTTGTATACACTGGTTATTGATCAAAGAATAATTATTGTTGCAATTAAAGTAATGAAATCTGAAATTCTTGAATTTTTGAATAATAAAAAATAAATAGTGAGCAAACAGGTTTGATCTACCTAATTGCTCGAAGAAAAAACAAAAAAAAAGTAATGGGTGGGGGTCGTTGGTGACTGCTGGGTTAAAATATTTTTTAAAAGTGCAATGAATAAATCAATCGACGCTGCCTAAGAAGGGTATGTTGACCTTGAAAAGAAGACCAATTTTAATTACGCTGTTTTGAGGTCAAGTAGCAATATTTGAAATTAGTGTAAAACATTTGGGTTGACCTTGTTGTCGTTGTTGGTAAAATTTCCCCAATTGAATTAGTTGTTGATTGGCTCTCAAATGTGATTATATTAAGCAAATTTTTAGATTTTCATTTTGCGGGGAAATTTATAGAAAAGGCTTTTGAGAATGTTTGGCATTTTCAGTGCTTTCTATTTCACCATTAAAGCTTTCAGGTTTGAATCAAGCCAGCCAAATCACATTACCCCTATTTCAGTGATTTATTTCTATTTGCTTTTTTACTCAACCAACATAGGTCAACCCAGTACTTGTCGGTGCTCTAAAAATGTGTGCAGCACTGATTAAATCATCTGTTAATGTGTAACTACTGATTAACAGCATAACGCGATGTCACTTTTGTCGCATATATTTTGAAAAAGAAATTATATTCAGCAATCTTAATTAAAAATATAGCTCATATTCAGCATAATTCTTGCCAAAATTAGTTTCTCATGGTTATTTTAGAAGCGAAATTTATACCACAACCATTCAATATTAGTTATGAAGAATACGATGCAAAACGTACATATTAAATTTTAAACTGTTCGAAAAAACCAAGATTCGCCTTTGCAAATAAATATAAAAAAGATATGCATGTTGTCATTTACTGTCATTACTAATACAAATTTATATTATTTATTTTCCCATGTAGCAATTCGAAAGCTAATTCTCAAGTTAATATTAAGAAATGTATATTATTTGGTATTTGAAAAGGAATTGAAATGAATATAAGAATTAGTCATTAAATGTGCACATTACATCAGTATTTTTGATTTCATAAAAATATTCAATTTTAGTGATATGAATTCTTAATTATTGAAAGTAACATCGAATAATAGTCCTAATCGATGTGTGACGTGATGAATGTACATTATAGTGTACTATGTTTGTGAGTATAAATGCGATGTTCAAGGAGTAAATTACAACTGGCTGCTACCTAAGGATGACAAAGCTGCACTGACAAGGTAAAGAAGAAGAATAAATAATAGCTAGTAAGTTAGCTGGCAAGAATAGATGGATGGATGATGCGTATCATCACTGGATGTGACGTATGTGTGTATGTGTGTTGTACGTTGTAAGTGGTATCACTCATTAATCAATGTCACTGCTATGCGTCAAGTAGAAAAATTGCTAAATTTAGGTGAAGAGAGCATTCGGGGAGTTAAAATATGAATGAAATGCATGCCCTGCCATGACACGCCATGCCATGTCATCCCATCCTATCCCCATCCCATCATCCATCTATCCATCCGTCCTATTCATTCACTGCATACAACGAACGAAAAGACTGAATGAACGAGAAATAGACAGATAGATGAATAGATAGATGATATTAATAATGATGATGATGATGATAACAAATAATAACTCTCTATTTTTACTAATTCTCTTATTTCTTATGACCAGCTGACTGACCACTGTTCACATATTTATTACTATCATTAATATGATTTATTTCTTGCCATTACTACTAATATTTTTACAGCTTTAATAATATCACTGTGCAATTATAGCAGCAATAAAAATTTAAATGATGGAAAAAGCTACATAATAGCTATGGATGTTATATAAGTAAGAAATTATTTTCGGCTTCATTATCATCACCATAATCATTATCATCAATTTGTTTAATTGCTCACTGGTATAATATAATGGAGGTAAAAAAGAGAAGGGAAAGTAGAAAGCAATACGATAGATGAAAGCTGTTGTTAGCTACTGACAGAGTAACTATCAACAGACAGCTTTTCATTATGAACGGCTGTAGTGCTCGTACTCTAAAACATTATCATTATCTTCTTCACTTTTCGCAAATAATTATTTGCTCTCATTTTTGATTTTATTAAACAGTATTAGTTTTACTTGTATGTATTCTGTTAATTTTTGGAAAGCAGAAGTTAATAATTATTGCAATAAACAAGCTATGAAAAGAGGACAATAGACAAGTCGAGACAGATAAGACAAGACAAGACAAGACAAGGCTAAACAAGACAGGGATTACCTTGCTTCTTTACCCTTCGCTTCTGTGTTAACCTCATGTCAAAAATCACAATTCTTCTCTTGCTTGACCTTTGCATAGTCTCTTTTTTCTCTTCTACCTCACCTCCAAAAATCCATCTATTCCACCATTATACATTTATCTATGCATTATTATCTCTCCACTTGTGCTGTTGTACTTGCTTGCTTCCATTTAGGCCTAAAACAATAATTTATTTGCAAGTAAGGAATGATGAGTGAGGAGTGAAATGCAACAATTTTGTTTCTCATCTATAATTTACAACTTTTCTTCTTTTACGCCGCAACAATACGTTTGATTTATTGTCTAGCATCGATCTAATCGACACTTTGATTTATCAACCGCTTCTTAGTAAAGGTGAATGAATAATAATTTATGAGGTAACATTAGTCACGATTAGTATGCATTTATTCATTCATTTATTTCTTTCAGCAGTATATCTATCACTTCTCATTCATTCCTTGTTGCTAATTTGTTAATAATACAACTATATTACTACTACTACTACTGACATGAATATTATCAATTATTAAATAGCTATAAAACTATTTTTATAGGTCTTCTTTCTTGTTTCTCTGCAAAACATTACATTATTGCATTCGGAAAAAATTTATTAGAATATTCTTTAATAAATATATATTTAATTTTTCAAAATTTCTTCATATTAATTAATTACCACCGGTTCAGTGCGGTAGAATAATAAAGGTGGAACATAATTTATTATTCCATTCTGTCACTGTTTCAATTAACATATTTAAAGTTAATAAATAAACAATACTTCTACGAAAAAAACTTATCATTAACTGATAGCCATTCCTTATAATGCTGCGATCAACAAGTATTGCACGAAAAGTATACTAGATATTCATAAATTATTAAGTGACATTACTGAAAAGTGAATTAATTACTACTAGTTTATTAATTTCACACAAACCTTGAGCTAAAATGTTGAACAATGACAACCGGATTCTTCATTTCACCAACTAAATTTTATTCAAATTAAAATCCATGATATAAATAATATCTTCATTAAATCAAACGAATACTAATGAATTGTATTATCACTTATCATGTGATAGTTATTCAGTATTGATAAAATGTATAGAGTTTTGTTACATGTATAAAGTATATAATTACATACGAGAACAATAGTTTGCACACAGATCTATTTAAAATTAAGCAATTACTATTAAATTTGTCACTTTTTGTGAAAAACACTTCGTGAAAATGTATATATGAAAGTAATTTTAATAAAATTTCAATATTTTTCGCTTCAGATTCACTCACAAATGCGACAATAAATAACGACTGAAATAAATATCTTGAGATAGTTTCCTTTTGGCCTTTGAAATAAATTCGATTTCGGAATTCTGTGGCAATACAACGAAAAAAAGGTGCTTACGATGGATGTTTCCAATTCAATCAAAATAAATCATTCTGAAAAAATGTCTGCAAAATTGGACAAAACGACTTTAAAGCCACTGATGAAAGAAGGTTAGTAAATTTTAATGAATTTCGATGCATGCAATTTGCAGTAATTAGAATTTTTCATTGCACAATTATTTTCTTTGTTTTACTGCCAGAAAATTGTTTGTCGAAATTTGATTAAATATAGTGCTTGAAATTGCGACGACAATTTACTATGATTTCTGGCTGTGAAAATTATTTATATGACTTGTGAATAGATTTCTAATTTTAAACAAAAATTTTGCTAATCAACGAGTAAAAATAATTTTCTTCGATTACTTTTGGTATTCAGTATTGAAAAAGTATAAATAGATATGTATTTCTTGACATATCTTCTACCAATTTCACTTTTTTCAAGAATTTTACTTTCAAACTTTGAATGAAATTTAAATTTATACATTCAAGTAAAAATTGTTTCATCAATTTTTGCTTACACTCGTTGTTAACTTTATAAATTTTAATCGCTTCTAATTAAAATTAAATGCTTTTACTCATTTTATATTTAGCATTTTCAAATGCATACTATACCATATACTTAAAAAAATTTCTTTCCCTATTATTCTTCTTTATTATAATTTAAAATTAATTTTAACTATAACCTGAGTTTTTGTAATGCTCATTTTACGGTGCTAATTAGTTGACTGATTGATTGATTGATTAATCGATTTAGAAAAAAAATTGCAAGCTGTTTAGTAATATAAGATTGACATAACGAAGAAGATTCAATCTCTTCCCAACTAAACCTCAAAAATCATTCATTCTTTTGTTGCAAACTGCAGCATCTAAGAGCATTAAATTCATCAAACTAAAAATGAATTTGTATAACTAATATGATAAT